TGATTTCGTTTATTCATTTAGTATGTGTAACTATAGCTAAATTGATGATAAATTTTATTAAAAATGTAATCAATTATATTACAGTTTTATAATATTTATTGTAGAAGATTAAAAAAACTATAAAATAAAAACAACTAAGTTTACTGTTTTGAACTTAGTTTTAAAATAGAATATGAAACGAATTAATAAATGTAATGCTACTTTTGAGCTTCTATTGTATAAAAAATACTGATATTAAATATTTTTCACTTGGGACTCATCAAGCGAAGAATTGAGTTTAATTAGTTCTATATTTCTTAACTGACTATTCTATTTAAATTTTAAGAACCGCCATTGACATTTACAACGGACTTTTTCTTCGTCAACAATGTTTGGGTTTCTGTTGCCATTGTCATGAGCATTGAGTTTCCGTTAGCCTGAATGTTTATTATGAAATTTAAGAGTAATACAGCTGAATTCAAGTGATAGTGAAAAGGTTCACTATCAAGAATAATGACAATTGTCGTTTCATTGTCATTTTGGTAATGTATTGTAAACTGAAAAATAATAGTAGAAAAAAAAACCCAGTAAAATGAAAGAAAAGGAAAAATTTTTGATAGCTGCCTCTTCTTAAATAGTAAAAACAAGAGGTATTCTGAAATGAAATGGGGATGGGTGACTAAACAATATGAAATATGACCGAGGAAAACTGTTCGAAATGAATAAGACGCAATTTACCAAGCAATTACCATGGCTTTCAATGTTGTGGAGAGGTGTTTTTTGCTGAAATTATAGTAGCTGTTGCGGCTCTTCTTTATTATTTATAGTAATGACGTTAAGTCCTTTTTCGTAGTACCATGACGTTATACATATCCCTACTTGAGACTGTTAGAAAAGTAAATTTTAAGAGCGTGGGGGTGTACATATTTTAAATGGTTGAGAGTTCATTTTAATATTTATTACATTATTACTGTCGTTACAATAATTATATTTATTTTCCTGTTTTCAACAATGGAAATTTAAATTGATTTAACTTAAAAGTAATTCATCTAAATTTATAATTTTTTTTTTTTAACTCTTTTCGGCATTCTTCCTATTTGAATGAAATTTATTTCATTGTTTCTAATAACTTCTCTATTTTTGAACACAATTAATTTGATATTATAACTAAAATATATTATTAACAATTATCATAATGCAGTCTTTGGATAAGGTCTAAAATAAAAATAAGTTAAAACAAAACACATAAATGAATTTTTATCTTATTTATCTTAAAGATAAACTATAAAATTTCATGGCTCAAGTGTCTGACGTTTAGTTCATACATTTTATAACTATTTAGCGAATGTTGTTTAAATATTTCATAAAATATTATAGTGAAAACTGTCGCTCTTTGTTTTAACCACATACACAAGGAATAGGTGGTTATAAAGTAAACTATTTCAATACGGCTTTGGTTTCCTTTGAGTTTGCTCGTTTAACAACTGCGAAAAGAAAAAATTAAATAAAAAACACAAATTTCACATTCACGGAGTTGAATTTAAATTTTCTTCATACTAAAATATATATTTCTGTAGTAATAAATATACAGATAATAATCTAAACTTCTAGAAGACTAATCCTAGTATCTATTATTTATTTTTAATTTTTTAATTTTTTATTAAAAAGCCAATTCATATATAAATACTGAATACTGAGAGTATTAGGTCCTCTCCATTTATTCAGTATTAATTGTAACGAATAATCTTTAAAATAAAATTAGTATTTCACCATACATAATTTGATTGGCAGATTTTTAATAATTTTTCATCAATAAAGAAGAGCATTAAATAGCCTTCTAAATTGATACAATCAATTTTGGTTTATCAATTTTGAGTCATTTCAAATTGTAATTTAGATTTTAAATTAGCTATATTCCATTTTTTGGTAATTAAAGAATAATCTTAATATTTGATCTAAAGATTCCATTATTTTTGTTGTATAAACTGTTACTATAAACACGTTTACAATATCACAGAAAAAATGTATTTATTAAATTTATACTAGCAGCTAATGCACTGACCTGGATTTTAGTCAGATGATTATTTAATAGAGACCAAGAGACGATGCGCTTCCCTAAAGTGTTGTTTATTAAAAAAATGAATATTAAAAAACTACAGAATAACACTCATTGCACACCTTGTAAATGTTAAAAGATATGCTTTCAATAAAATGGAAAAATCTTCATTTTATTTTTATACTTTAGTTTATTTACCATTAAAACCACGATTAGCTCATGTATTTTACAAACTTTATCTACATTTTTTTCAGTATGCAATACGGGTGTATAATAATATTCAAATTGAAAAGACATTTAATTTTAAATAACCATTCATAGTATTGAAGTTAAAATGAAAAAATAAAACAGAACAGCCATAATACAGTATATACATGCAAAGTGTTGTTAAAAGCTAAAGAATACTGTAAAAAAATTTGTCTTCGACTTTTATGTTATGAAACATCAAATGCAGAAATATACTATTATTATTCTTTCTCAAATATTGCTTTACGAAAAATTCAAAATAAACAATTTCATAGAAAGACTGTATGTAGAGCTAACAGCGATTACTGGTTCATATTGGTTTAAATCCTGAGGATTGGATCCTCTGGCAATTGAGTAATAAAGCTATCGTTTTCTCTTTGATAGTTATCAATTGTCAATGTTGTTGATGTTTAAGAATAATTAATCAAATCATAGTATATTGAATGTTGAAGGAAGATGAGGTAGAGGAATACCAAAAAAGAGATGGAAGAATGTAATTGAATGTGATAAGAGGACGGCTGATGTGAGCGTAGATGATGTGGGTGATCGTGTCAAGTGGAAGTTTAGGATGGGGTGGCCGACCTCAAGTAGTTGGGATTAAGGTGAAGAAAATGAAGAAGAATCAAATTAAAATATAGTTTTTTTATGGAGATGTTACCTATGAATTTTGTTTGATCATTTAAATAAAAGAAAAACTATAATTTTTTTCTTATTAAATAAAAATAATGTTATGTTTATCCCTTAGAGTTCGGCTTGACCTAGTGCGTAGAAAAGTATATTTTGGCGCACGGGATTCCGGATTCGATCCCCAGGGTGCCAACGAGATTTTTCTTGTGATTTTCCCATGGATGGTGTCTGGTCTCGGGTGCAAGTAATACCCGTCCTTTCCATCATTGACCTAGCCAAGAACCTACTTTGACTCCGTAAAATGTGAATGACAACCCTCTGTAGCATGTTAAGTTCGGGAAATAGATGGATGTAAAACTTTATTCTTTAGAGGATTAAAAAAATAGATTAAAAGGCCAAAAGAAAAGGCATACGAAAAAAATTATATTTCATTTCTATATACATGAAGTCTATTTAATATTTAATAATTACGTTACTTTTCAATTATTTATTTAATATTCTTTAATACTTTTCAATTGAAATTGAAATACTAAGTTAAATGTTTATACAATATCATAAAATACATTTTAAGTGACATGTTATATAAATCTAACAATTAATTACAATATTTTTTTCTTTAATCTGTTCCAAATAATAACCCAAATGTGTTTATATATAATGACACCTTTTTGGTTAGTAAAATCTATTAAAATGTTCAACTTTTTATAAAATATACTATCAAAACTTTTAAAATCATATATAAGAAAGAATCGTTTAAAAAAATTAATCAATTTTTAGAGTGTGAATCAATTATTGTATATTGAGTAGTATATATTCTAAAAATAATTGTTGTTATGTCTGTTTTTTTTTTTTTTTT